TTTATGAATGTATAATGAAAAGGCTTTGGATGGCTTCACTTGAAAAAATCTGATCAAATGATTAAGCATAAGTTTTCTTTTTTTTGTGAGAGAGAGATGGCTTTTTCGTTGCGCCCCAAATATGCTTCTTTTTTCTATCAGCTATGCTTGTGTTTCTTACATTACGTTACAGTATGTCAAGCCGTCTGCAGTTCCAATTCCTGTAGGATCGCCCATGGCAGTCCGATCGAGGAGGGACCAGAATGAACGCGACCAAACCTCGAATACCCCCCAACAGCGGAATAGGCAAATATCTACACGATCACAACGGCGAAACCGGCGGAAGGGGGCAGCGCCAGTCGGGTTGGAGTAACCAAGGCGGATCTTGAGAGCCCAAGCATCCTAAGTTGCCCGATGCAAACAGGTTTGTCAGATCTCGCCTGTTTCAATACCCTTTGAGCCGCGAGGAAGGCGCTTCTGGCCGCCAAGTATGTGGGCTTCTCTGTCGCGCAGAGGTGTCCACCAAAACTAATTTCGCGCGAATGGCCTCATCAAACCCTCTTTGATTCACAACCATTTACACCGTGCCACCGAGGAAGAGAAGAGAGAGAGAGAGAGAGAGAAAGAGAGAGGTTGAGGAGCTCGGATACGAGCGAGTCCCGACGACGACGACGACGACGACGCTCTTTTTCTATTCAAATATGTTGCATCTGATATTGTGAAACTAGTTCGAAGTTCTGGTGTTCTTCTTTTTAAGGCTTGGATTTTTCTTGCTTATAAGGTGTACAGCCATATCACGTTGTAAAATTGGTTCCGGTACAATCAAGAAATAAAATAAATCTTACACTTACTTCAATTAAATAAGTACAAAGGGCATATATTTCTTAAGCTGCCTACAGCAGCGAACTACCGCAAAGACAAACCGATTCTAAAATGTGTCGCTTCCAGCGGGACAACGTGTTTTGAAATAACCCTCCAGTTCTGACCTTCAGTTATACCATGAGTTGACCTGAAGTAAAGAACGACATAGTTTCACTACAGAAATGCATTTAAAATCAAGCAGAAAGAAATTGTTAATGGGAACTAATGCAAATCTTACCAGCAGAAGATGATTCGGTTTGATTTGGTTTGTTTAACGGCAAATCAACCTCAATGGGTTATTTAATGCCGACAACATTTTTAGGATAGATTCGTATGAATAGAATATGTATTCTTTGGTTTAGATTGGTTTGGTTTATTTTGTTTTACGGCATATCAACCTCAATGGGTTATTTAATGCCGACAAAATTTTTATTGTTGGTAATATTTTGTTTTGTCAAAAATCTATTTCTGGTAATATTTTTCCTTCAAAAATGTATTGCTGATAATTTCTTTTTAAAAAATGCATTGCTAGTAATATTTATTTTTTAAAACATTGTTGGTAATACTTTTTTTCAAAAATGTATTGCTGGTAATAGTTTTTTTTTCTTCAAAAATTTATTGCTGGTAATAATTTTTTAAAGTATTTTTGATATTAAGACCTATTTTTACACTTTCATAGTGTTTTACCCCAGTTTCAGGGTTAACTATTTGCCCATAGCTGGGACCCTAACAGGTGCTACCACTCCAGGTCAGGGCGGATCTGGGAACATCAGCAATTAAGAGGTGGTTCCACGCTCCTCAAAACCACCTGATCAGCGGCCTTGCTGCTGGACGTAGTTTATCGTCTTACCCAGGACGGCAGCAGAAGATGGCTATTATATTACAGCCATTTTAAGTTGAAACACCAGTTCCCGTACGATCACCAATGGCCAGTACCTAGATCGGTGGCCGCTTGGGAATACGAAGTACTGTAAGCATGGATGTGCGGGTGGTGTAATGGATAACGGCTCGGAATTGGAATCGGAGAGCCGAGTTCCAATTCCAATCGCGTTCGTTATAATCACTTACGCGCAAATAACTTTGGGAAAAGTATCAATCCATTTCTACCCCTCGTAGCTATGGGTTAATTAGTATTACTTGTATCAGTCAATCATAATTATCGCCCAAAAAATTCTTGCAATCTAAAAATATTTTCTGGCTTTAAATGGCCTGAAAAAAGTTGATAAGCCCTAAAATTAAAAAAATCGATCAATCTTACCGTGTGTAACAGCAAAATTGTCCAAATCGTGTAACTGCATGGATAATTGCCAATCCTGCAAAATGTTTAATATCTAAAAAAAACAAAAAAAAAAACAACAAAAAACCCCCACTAAACTAGTTCTTTTTTCTAGGTTTTCAGATAAGACGCTTAGCCATCTTGACACCAGTTGTCGTAAGAATCACTGAAAAACACTTTGAGATATTCAGCTAGAAAGAGAACAGGTTAAACTCGTTCTGTGTCAGCCACACTACGGCTTTCCAACTGAGCAATGATAAGAGGGAAAAAGATCATTAAGGCCTTTAGAACAATAGAAAGAATAACTGAATCAGGAGGTCACAACAGGAAGAGGGATCATCATTTCAACTTAGAGCTAAAGAGATTATTATTGCTCAAAGTAGAGTCCAATAGTTTTATAAAAACCTCGGAGAATTCCAGTAATTAATTTAATCATTTCTAAGATGCAACAGCTTAATCTAACAACAGAACAATTTTTCTGTGACAGGATTTGGACAATTTTGCTGTTACACCCGATACATTGCCTCCTGTAACTGCATGACATATTATGCATACATTTTTTGGCTTATTTTTCTTACACGTGGGTTAAAAAAATTTAAGACAGCTTCGTAGAAAACCTTCATTATAGAAAACCACGCATTTATTGTTTACTAGCAGCATGGCTCGGCGTTGCCCGTGCTTGATTCAAAAATCGTACGACTCATACAGCAATCGCTATCACTTGACTTAAAAATATTTTTGCCCTTCCTTGCCTTTAAAGGAGTGCCCTTTGCCGTGCTGATGTTGCTATATGCCTTACTTCTTGCCTATCTCACACTGCGAATTTTTTCTAAGCTCTATACTAAACATTAAATCTGTTACGAAAAAAGAACTAAAAAAAATGAACACAAAACGATCAGTTTTAAAAAAGGACTCGTAACTGGAAAAACCGAATGAAAAAAGAATGTTAACAACAAATACTTTTTCACACCTAACCCAGTTCTGCGGAATCAGAATCAACGTTGAGTTTAAGCAAGCGAATGAGCCAATTGGAGTAAAGTGCCATGCAGATTTAAATTTTTCCCACTTGTGACGAATGCAGCTATCGATTTTTTTGCATGCTAGCATGCTAGTTAACATTCGTGTGAGTCAGCTGTTGGCTCTCACGCTGGCCAATAGAATCTTCCTGCCTATTCGTGTCAGCCAGCTATAGGCTCTCACTCTGGCCAGTAGAAAATGGCTGCAAACTACATGAAAAGTGCCGTAGAAGCATGAAAAAATCGATAGAAATCTGTGATAGTTGATTAAGTCCGTACGTTTTTAAAACTAATAAAATCTGCTATGCACATAAAATTATGAAGTGGATGAAGTAGAGTTTCTTGATGTCGTAATGAATCAATTTTTATTACTTTAAAGCCTTAAAGGAAACAGAAATATGACAGGAGAGGATCTGGGCGCGATAGTAGGGAGACAAATATTACTTAGATCTCCGATGGATAGGAAGTTGTGGAGAGGCTTGATCGCCCACGCACAACTGGAACAGGGTACATTAGGTAAGTAGTTTGTTTCCTGTATAACGAGAGAGAAGCTATCATCGAATAATACCAGGTTTCGACAAGAGATAGATAGATGAGTAGCGTGTGTGTGTGTGTGTGTGTGTGTGTGTGTGTCTGAGAAAGAGAGAGAGAGAGAAAGAGAAAGAGAGGGGGAGCGAGAAAGTAAAAGGAGGAGAGAAGAGAGAGAGATATAAGGAAAGAATAAGAGATAAAGTGAAAAAAGAAGGAAAGAAAGAGTGAGAGGGAAATGAGAAAGAAAAATGGAGGAGAGGGAGAGGGGAAACTTTGACAGAAAAAAATAGAGGGCAGGAAGAGAAGGAGAAAGAGTAAGATGGGAGAGAGAGAGGGTGAGAGGAGGGAGAGAAAAAGAGAGAAAACAAAGAGGGAAATAAAGAGAGGAAGAGAAGAAAGAGAAGGAAACCGTAAGAGAGAAAGAGAGAAAAAGAAAGAGAATGAGCGAGAAAAAGTGAGAGAGAAAAAAGAGAGGAGAGAGTGGGAAATGAGAGAGAGAGAGAGAGAGAGAGAGAGAGAGAGAAAGTGGAGAAAGAGTGAGAGGGAAAAAGAGTGTGAGAAGAGTGAGCGTAAGAGTGAGATAAAACATAGAAAGACAGAGAAGGGGAGAAGAAAGTTCGAGAGAAGAGAGAGAAGGAGAAAGTAAGGGAGAAAGAGAGAGAAAGAGCGGAAAATAGTAAGAAAGAAGAGTGAGAGAGAGAGAGAGAGAGAGAAAAAAAAAGAGAGTTAAGAGGAGAAAGAGAAGGGGTAAGTTTGAGAGAGAGAGGGAGGGAGTAAGTTTCAGAAAGAAGGAGAGAAAGACAGAAGGGAAAGAGTGTGTGTGAAAAGAGTGAGGGTGAGAGGGAGAAAAAACAAAGAGTGAGAGAGTCAGACAGACAGAGACAGAGAGGAAGAGAGAGAGGTAGAGATAGATAGATAGATAGATAGAGAGAGAGAGAGAGGGAGAGGGAGGGAGAGAGAGGGGGAGAGAGGGAGAGGGAGGGAGAGAGGAGGAGAGAGGGAGGGAGAGGGGGAGAGAGAGGGAGGAAGAGAGAGGGGTAGATAGAAAGGGAGAAGGACAGAGAGAGAGAGAGAGAGAGAGGGGGGGATAGGTGAAATGTTTTCACAACTTGTTTTGAGGCTACTAAATAATTCAAGAATGTCTTTCAGACCCAAACGGCACTTTTGTCAAAATTGAATTAAACAAACAAAATCAAAATTAATGAAGAAAGAAAAATCCGATTCGAATCTGTAATTTTAAACCGAGCGTTTCTGAATTATTATTATTATTATTATTATTATTACATTAAGAGAAATTTAAAAGCTCCCTCGTGATCCATTTTTGATCTGTGGAGAAAATGTTAGGTGTATTTTAGTCGACAAAAACTCCAAGAATAGCGTCTGCTGTTTATTCTAGACGTGATGGCTTAGTGGTGAGGCTCTGGGCTGAAAGGTCTACAATCCAATCTCCAGTCGTGTGTTCTATATACTTTTTTCATACAGGAAGTTAATATGGTCCTTTAGAGCTCCTGGTGGGGTCTTGTGACCATATCATGGACACGATTTGAAGCATTTAATGTGCGAAACTACAATATATGTCAAAGTTTAACGAATACGAGGAAATTAAAATTCTAGATATCTAATAGAATAAATACAGTAGAGCAGCCGACCAAACAGAAGTAGAAAATAAATGCTGGAAGATGGTGTCCCGGCAAGAAAAGCAGCATTTGTTATCCGGGCGCTTTAAAACTCAGATCGGACATTGACAACCGGTGTTCGACGGAAGTATGTATTTTTTTTTAAATCGGTATCACCCCATGCAAATCGGTACAGCCATTAGCACACAAGGGATTACAGGGTGTGGATGAATTAGGAACAGAAACATTAGTAATGAGGAGAAAGAAAAGAGCAGCCAGAGGGGACAGTATTTAGCAACTGACCTTACATTTATATTTGTATAGATCAAAGTTAGCTGCAAAGCGTTGAGCCGGGAGAGAGTTCCACAAGCGAGAAGTGCGAGAGAAGAAACTGTTAGCATAGAACTTACGGCATCATCTAGCTAGCTTTAAATTGATGTCTAGTATTGCGGTTAAATTTATACAGTCTCGGTACCATAGCGATGAACTCATCGAAACAATTACCATGAAAGTATTTATAAAAAAAAAAGACACAGAGAGGCAACCTTACGGCGGTGAGCAAGTGACTGAAGCCGAGCCGCCAGATCAGAGCCAATAATATTGCTGATTATTCTTTGGTCCGTATCAAGGAGCTCCAGGTAAATAACAGGGGCACCAGACCATATATGACAACAATATTCTAAGCATGGACGAATGGTAGACTTATAGATATGCAAGATAGATTTCGTAGAGAAAAATTGTCTTGCTCGGCACAGTGAACCGACTTTCCTAGCAGCTGACCAAGCAATGGATTCAATGTAGTCTCCCCCCCCCTGGGAACATGAACCCCCTATGGCACCTAGACTTTATGAACTTAAACGCATTACTAGATTAGCAACAAGGTCTCATCGTATTACAGTTGAACTGGCTAGATGTAACCGTAAGTTCTATGCTGACATTTTCTTCTATTGTACTTTTCGCTTGTGGAACTCTCTTCCGGCTTCTTGTTTTCTAGTCAAGTTTGAAAGGCGTTTGACCTTGACATGCAGATTCCACTTTCAATATGTGTCAATATTCATTACACTACCCGAAGCCATCTAAATATACAGAGTGCTATGGATAAATTGTCATCTAAATTACGCAAAAATGAAAATAACACTGACACCTCATTTAACAGATCTACAGGGTGCGATGGATAAATTGTCGTCTAAATTACATAAAAATGAAAATAACACTGACATCTCATTTCAACAGATATATTTACCAAAATTACAAAAAAAAAAAAATACTAAATAGTAAATTTATTCAATACAATCGCCATTGACTTCAATCACGGTTTCCAGATGACTTTGGAATCTCCTTCACATCTTCTGGACGGTCTCCTTGTTTAAGCTGGTGAATGGTGTCATAATCCTTGCCTTCACTTCATCTTTGGTCTTACAAGAAATTTTGTTGGTCTCTCGCTCAAATGTGTCCCACGCATAATAATCAAGCGATCTGTGAAGTTAGCTGGTCAAATGTAAGGGGTGATGTGCTTGCAGAAATTGTCTGGTAGTTATGACTAGGTTCTCTTGCTTGTGTGCCATGATGCAGAGTCCTGTTGCCACACATAGGTTCTTCCAGCAGCCACCCTCTTGACTCAGGGAAGCCCTGCCTCCTCAAAGCACTTGATGTAGGCTCCTGTGTTGAGTGTAAGGCTCTGTGGGAAGATGAATGAAGGCATAACATCGCCACCACTATTGATCATTCCAAACACCTTCGTAATCGACATTAGACCGATCCAACTTTTTCCGAATCCTCTGAACTGTCCTGAGATTGACACCCAAACACTCTGAAATGTTCGTATTTGAGCTATTGGCGCGAATGCCAAGCAGTAGAAATATCTGGGAGAGTGAATTACGTCATGGTGCTCTTTTTCTCACAGACGGTGCCCAACTGACCCTAGTAATATATGCAGTCGTATAAACAAAAACACCGCGCATGCGCGAAAGTAAAAAAAAATGTAAAATGGCGACAATTTGCCAATCGCACCCTGTATATAAAGCTAAATCAATATTGTAAAATTCATCTATCCGTCTTCTTCCTTCTCTCCCCCCCCCACATTCATATATATATATATATATATATATATATATATATTCCTCAACCGGTAGCACGATTCTGAAGATTGCGTTGTGCATGAAGTTTCGTGTCGTGTTACCGTTGAGGAAAAAAATTATTAATAATTATTATATATATATATATATATATATATATATATATATATATATATATATATAGCTTTGTTATTTTACATCTACTACATATTATTTTACACTATTTTTTATTAACACCAGCATTCAATGTGCGATATATATATATATATATATATATATATATATATATATATTTGCATCGACCTTGGAGAGGTGAATTAACAGGAGATAACTGACGTCCGTGAGACACATGGTGCGTGGACATTCCAACCACCTGAGGAAGGCCGGAGCGTAGAACGGCAGAAATGTTGTGATAAATATGGCAACAAAGATGAGGACAATAGTTGGAGAACTTGAAGAGGGGAATTGACAGGAGATAACTGATAACTGACATCCATTAGATATGGCACGTGGAACTAGAACAGTCTACCTCAGCGAGCGAAATAAAGGGTTCAGTTCGACATTCCAACCACTTGAAAAAGGCCGGAGCGTACAACAGCCAAAACGTTGTGGTAAATATGGCAACAAAGATGACCACAATAGTCCGAATAATTCAAATAATATATATATATATATATATATATATATATATATATATATATATATATATATGTGTGTGTGTGTGTGTCAGTCAGTTCATATCTTTTCTGTGTGTGTTCCTTGTAGGCATACAAGCAGAAAATACCACGGATACAAATCGCTTTTATATTCTAAGCGGTCGAGTTACCGAGAAAAAGGCGCTGATAGAAATTGATTAAAGATAAAATAAATATTTTTTATAATGACGCAATATGTAATTGAATAGTGTAAGTAATCCTGTATGTGTTAATGCATAACTTATTCCTTTCCTCTCTCTCACTTCAAATGAGTCGGTTTCCGTCACTCTCTCGCCATCTACCACTGTTTATTCTATCTATCTATCTATCTATCTATCTATCTATCTATCTATCACTGTTTATTCTTTCTTTCTTTCTTTCTTTCTATCTATCTATCTATCTATCTATCTATCTATCTATCTATCTATCTATCACAAACTCTTCATTATCTATCTATCTATCTATCTATCTATCTATCGCTATTTATTCTATCTATCTATCTATCTATCTATCTATCTATCTATCTATCTATCTATCACTGTTTATTCTATCTATCTATCTATCTATCTATCTATCTATCTATCATCTATTTATTCTTTCTTTCTTTTTTTCTTTCTTTCTTTCTATCTATCTATCTATCATTCATCTATCTATCATCTAACTCTTTTATTCTATCTATCTATCTATCTATCTATGTTTTAGTCTGTTTATTCTTTCTTCTTTCTATCTATCTATCTATCTATCTATCTATCTATCTATCTATCACTAAACTATTCATCTATCTATCTATCACTATCTATCTATCTATCTTTATCTATCTATCTATCTATCTATCTATCTATCACTATTTATCGCTTTTTATTCTTTCTATCTATCTATCTATCTATCTATCTATCTATCTATCTATCTATCTATCTATCTATCTATCACAAACTCTTCATTATCTATCTATCTATCTATCTATCTATCTATCTTTAGTCTATCTATCTATCTATCTATCTATCTATCTATCTATCTGTTCCACCTCTCTCTCCCTCTTTTTTCTCTTTCTCTCTAACACTTATGCGCACGTAACGCACACACACACACACACACACACACACACACACACACACACACACACACACAGACACAGATCTTTTTATTCGGCTTGCTAAACATCCCAGCTTGTCCGGGACTGTACCAGTTTGACCGGTATTATCCGGATGATATACGCTATCAGTGTTTGTTTATTTTGTGTCAGCCACGAAGCTTAAGGAGTATTGGGTTATAAAAACCATTTATTAAACAAGAAGACTAAGAAGACTCTAATAAAAATTAAAAACTGTCTCGGGTTGAGGCTTGGAAAAATTATGGCCAGACTGTTATTCATCTTTGCCTCTATTTCAGTTTGGTTCCTTGTCTATAATGTTGGACCAACATACAGGTTTGCATTCACAGATTCGTTTATACGATGAATTTATTTTTTACTATTTTATTTTAATTTTCTAAACCAGAAAAACGACTCGTTGCACCTTCTCGGGTTAATTTTCTCGGCAGAGAGGAAGTGAATAGATTATATTGAATCAATTGCTAGGCCTACTGCTAGGAAAGTTGGTTCATTGTGTCTTGCTTGACAATTTATCTCTTCGGAATCTATCTTACATATTTATAAGTCTCCCATTTGTTATATGCTTTGAATATTGTCACCACATATAGTCCGATGTTCCGATCACATATTTACAGATTCTTGATAAAATCGAAAGAAGAATCTGCAATGTTATTGGTCCTGACCTGGCATATCGGCTTCAGCAACATTCCCACCGCCGTTCCTTTTCTATGAATACTTTCATGCTAATTGTTCTGATCTACATTGTACACAGACTTTGCGAATTTAAGCACAGTAACAGATTGGAGTCAAGGTCCTATCAATTTACAGTTGATTTTGCTAGATGCAACCGCAAGTTCTATGCTAACAGTTTCTTCTGTCACACTTCTCGCTTGTGAAACTCTCTTCTGGCTTTCTTGCTTCCCAGTCAACTATGATCTTAAAAAAATTAAATTCAGTGCCAATCGTTATCTTCTACGTTCTTAATTTCTGTCTTGTCATCGAATAGTCGAAACGTCGTGAGTATAACAATAGTGATTATCATGCTGGTTCAAATAGCAAAGTATAAAATAATGATAATACCTCATGTAAAAAATTTACGACATAAAATAATGAGTAATTTCTAAGTTGAATTATTGGATTGGACAGAAAGTTCGTTCGGTTTATTAAGCAATTTCCTTTGTTCACTCTGTACAGGGTCCGAGAGCCACTCGAAGCAGATGCTTAAAGAGTAAGAGGCACAGATTATGTGTGGAAGATAACGGTTAACCCTAGACTTGAACAGTCTAAGATTGTAGCGATCAGGGAAGCATCCTCTTGGGAGTCGGTTCCACAAAGCGGCGGCTGCTCGGGTCGAACTTACATCTCGCCAGTGGAATACGAAGGGAATGAGGGTGGTTCGCTACAATGGGCGTGGCATGGCGGGTCTCAGCCGTGATGGCTACAACAGGTGGGACTAAGGAATGTAGGTTGTCTGAACACCTTCCATGGAAATAGCGACAGAAGAGCGAGAGGCTTGTAACGTTTCGACTGTGAGAAAAGGGGTTGCAGGGTGGAAAATAATTCGTCAACCACAAAGACGCGGGAACGCTTGTGGACTCTACTGAGACTGGGAAGTGAAGACTGTATAGCTCCAGCGCATATATGACAGCAGTACTCCATTTTTGGCCTAATCTGGCTCTTGTAAAGGTAGAGAATAGCAGGAGGAATCAGGTACTTACTGGAGAGGTACAGGTAGCTGACCATTTTATTTGCATCCTTAGCAATGGAACGTTTATATGAGTTCTACCTGAGGTCAGGTGTGAGTTTGAGACCCAATAGTCTTACAAGACACAGTACCTTTCCGAGGCGACATCTGTTCATCATGACTGGTGATAGTTCAGGGTCCAATTGGTGATGATGGAGTGTAACTAGTTTGGTTTTTGAAGGATTGAATGTAATCAGCCAGCTTTTACCCCACTGGCATGTTAGAGCTAGATTGGAAGAGAGATCAGTTACTAATCTCTAATCATCAAGAATTTTAGAGGTGTGCCTTTAATATCATCAGCATAGATATTTAGAAAATGAAATGCCAAATCACAAAATGTGGCATGATCACCCCACCGTGCATCGTAAGCAAATGTAAAACACCATCTGATATATGGAATATAAAAAGGCTCCAAAAACACATCACTAATGTTGTTTGGGATGGTGGTGTATAGATATAGAATTTGGTTCAATTATACATATGTTACTGTCATCTAGTGGTCATGACTTCATCCTTGGATCAGGTAGTGATGCACTAATTCTGCAGGAATGAACAATAAGTGACAAAATATCAAAACAATTCACAAATGACAGAGGGTACTTCGTCGAAACATCGTGTCTATATTATCAACCAACAGTTTGAAATAATACAAGAACATTGACAATTACTTATCTCCAAAATGAAATCCCTTTTTTTTTCTTTTCACCCTAAGTAAGGTGGGAGTTCCACTAGCTTGCAACGGTTTATAGACGATTGAGAACAAGAATAAAGAGGCGTGTTTGAGGAAAGGATAAGTTCTGTAAAAACACTACTATATCTTGAAAAGGTATATATATATATATATATATATATATATATATATGTCAACAGTAGGCAATTTAATTTCTATTAAGATGTATGAGTACATCTTGAAATGGTATATATACATCAACAGCAGGTAATGTAAGTTCTGTAAAGATATTACTACCCCTTGAAAAGGTATACATATATCAACAGTAGGAAATGTAATTTCTGTATGTCTTAAAATGTTATATATCTGTCAGTATCATGCAATGTAAGTTCTGTAAAGACATTAGTACATCCTGAAAAAAAAAATATATATATACGTCAACAGTAGGCAATTTAATTCCTATTAAGACGTATGAGTACATCTTGAAATGGTATATATACATCAACAGCAGTAACACAGTAACATATATATCCAACTGTATGTTGATGATAGTTTGAAATGCAAGTATATTGGCAATTACTCATTTTTTTTTTTACAGTAAGGCTCACGTTTTACAAGGCCCAGAGGTTATTCAAGGTAGAGGGTTAGGGTTAAGAGGCAATTTGTGGTGATAGGAGGGTAAGATAACAGTTAACTTTAGCCTTGAACAGGTTAAGATTGTAGTGATTGGGGAAGCATCCTCTTGGGAGTTGATTCCACAGAGCAGCAGAAAGAAGCTGTTTGAGTGGAACTTACTTCTCACTGATGGAATACAGAGGGTATATGGGGGGTTCGCTACAATGCATGTAGCATGGTGTGTCCTAGCCGTGAAGGTTTGAAATGGTGGGACCAGGGAATGTAGTTTGCCTGATACTTTCCGTGGAAGTATCAATAGGGCAGCAAGAAGTTTGTCACATTACACCAGTAAGTGAGAGAGAGAGAGAGAGAGAGAGAGAGAGAGAGAGAGAGAGAGAGAGAGAGAGATTGGAGGGTGGAGAATAATTTGTCACCCACAGGGGCTTTTGAACTCTATCAAGGCTAGAGAATGGGGTTTGAGCAGTATGACAGCAATACTCCATTTTCGACCTAATCTGGCTCTTGTAAAGATAGAGAATAGCAGGAGGAGTCAGGTACTTACTGGAGCGGTACAGGGAGCCGACCATTTTTACCGGCATCTTTAGCGATAGATCGTATGTACGGATTCCACTTGCGGTCTGGCTTGAGTTTTAGTCCTAATAGGCACTGGGTCCTCCCTTGGGGCACATCCGTTCATCCCGATTGGTGGAAGTTCTGGGCCCGATCGGCAATGATCGAATATCACTGCCTTAATAAGCGAACGAACTTTTTGCCCAACCCAGTATTTCTTTTCCTTCAAAATCACCCCGGAAGTTGGTCAGCTATAGCGGAAGTTCAACAGATACCTTCACCTTTTCTGTTTCCTTCCACCATGAGATATCACGGTCGACTTTACAATTAAATTAAATTTTAACCTATAAATTCCTGATTTCGAACACGCTCGTTTCAATTCTAAATTTTAATTTTCTACGTGAACCTGTTTGACGTTATCGTCGTGCGGTTGAATATTCTATTCAGCTCCGGATTTCGTCAGTTACCGCCGGGTGGGTAGGCTTTGTGACTCCATTCTCGTCTGTTATATCCAAGTCTGCCCCCTCCCCTCCCGTGTGCATGCATCTACTTGTCATACGGTTTTTCTCACGCGTACACATCTTAGGCACAGCTGGATGTGTTATATACTACACTTGTTTCATTCTCAGCCTTTTTCCTTCCATATATATTTACCCTGCAGATAGTAATACATGTGTATCATTTTCTTATCTGTTAAAAAACATTTAAAACATTCAACGTGAAAACCTTTAACACCGAAGTTGAGCAACGTCGATCCTGATCATTATCGAGATGGGTGACCGCTTGGGAATACCAGGTGCTGTAAACTTGGATATGTGGATGGTGTAATGGATAACGGCTCGGAGTTGGAGATCCGAGTTCCAATTCCAGTCGGGTTTGTCATATATATTTACGCGCAGATATCCTTGGGAAAGGCATGAACCCACAATTACTTCCCACCCCAGCTATGATTTAATTCGTAAGGCTTATATTAATTGTGTCGAACAATTACTTTCGGACAATTTTCGCGATACGCAAATAATTACGACAAAAGACCTGTTGTTGTATAAGTGAGCGTGGTCGAGTGTCTCGTACGTTTGTTTTCCAAACCCGGGTTCGATTCTCAGATCGATTTCTAAAGTAGTTGACATCTTGTTGTTATCTTCCTGTAGAGACGACCCTGGTGTGTGTGTGTGTGTTTTTCTTTTTTAACGACCTATCAATCTTTGACAGGTTATTTAGAGCTGGAAAATATTTTTAGATTGTAAAAAGATTTTTTTTTTATATATATAATCGCAAAGGCGTTCGATAAGGTACGCCACAAAGATCAGTTAGAGCTGCTCAGCAACCTTGACATATTCGGGAAAGACTTTATAATAATCAAGAATCTATACTGGCAGCAAACCAACTGCATACGGAGAGAAAATGAGTTCAGCAGATATACAAAAATAGAAAGGAGCATACGACAAGGATATGTCGCCTCACCAGATTTATTTAAATTATATACCGAGGCAATTCTGAGAGAATTAGAAGTCCTACCAAGATTTATTATTGGCAGCCACAATCTTAATATAAGATATGTAGATGACACAGTACTAATAGCAGACACGGAAAGGAAACTACAAAACTCCATCCAGAAGGTAGTGAAGGAAAGCGAGAAGAAAGGACTAAGCATAAACTACAAGAAGACGGAAAGCAGGGTTAGTACCAAAAGGGGGACCCAAAATGTAAATTACAAATCGGGGATAATAAAATCAAACAATTGCAGAAATTTAAATATCTGGGATGTGTTCTAACAAAGGACAGAAAGTACGACACTGAGATCCGAAAACGTATTGGGATGGCCAAAGAAGCATTCCAAAAGCTAAGCAAAGTATTAAGAATCAGGAAAATTTCGTTGGTAACAAAGAAAAGAGTATTGAGACTTGAAGCAAGAGAAATATTGTTCTACAGATGAATGTTGAGAAACCATCAACTGTGAGCATCGATGAGAAAATGGACTGATACAATTCTTGATGACAATCTGTCACATATCTCTCAAAATACCATATTGTTTGAATTCCGTTTTCTGTGTCAGTGGACATCATTGTTAAGAACTTGTCTACGGGAGTCCGAAGACACCTTAGTTTCTGCGTCCGCGGAGCTAATGGTTAGGAAATCTGTCTTTAAGATCGTGAACCTATTTCTAAGGCAGTCCGAGGAACACTCTTCAGAACCTCTCTAAGGGAGTTCAAAGTACCCATGTTTGGGAAATTGCTTCTGTGTCCGTGGAGCTAATGGTTAGAAATCTATCTTTAATTTAATTATATTTTCGACATCGAAAAAAAAAATCCCTTACTATAAAGGTAATTTACATTAACCAGAAAGAAAGGCTTAGACAGAAGCTTCTATCTTTTTAAATTTGGATTTTTTAATGTAACTATAACAACAAAAATATTTCGATTTCATTTTTGCCCTGAAAAAGTCGGAAGAAGAAACGCGTCGACAAAATCTAAGATTTTTTTTTGCAATTGTCATTTTATACCAATCTATCATGCAGACACCATGATTGCGAACTTATTTCTAAGGCAGTCCGCGGAACACTGTTCAGAACCTCTCTAAGGGAGTCCAAAGACCCCATGGTTGGAAATTCTAATCTGTTCCCGCTGATCCTATCGATGGTAACCTGTCTCCAAGAAGTTCCGTGGACTCTAGGGTTAGGAATCTGCCTTCAAGCAGGTCCGCGGACCACATGGTTGGGAATGCATCTCTAAGGAAGCTAACAGAAACTATGGTTGGAAATATATGTTTACATGGTACAAGGCCATTTTGTTGGGAAAATCCCTCCCGTAACCAGCCCCAACCACCCAGTGCTGCATTTTCATTTTAGGGAGTTGGCAACTTTAGTTGTCTGTAATACTGACGAATAAGAATAATATTAAGATTAGCTAAAACAAAACAAAACATAAATTGATGCTGAAACCGCTGCTGTCCGGTCTATTCCACTTGGAAATTTGAACGTTCCTTCGTCTCATAAAAAACACGTTTCGTTGCTTCTAAGTGAAACGACCTCACTGCTCTTTGTCAAAAGAGTGACAGGTTAGAAGATTCTGAGCTGATCTGCTTTTTTCTTTTCCCTTCCGTTCTTCCCACACTTAATTGTAGATCAATATTGACTTTCTTTTGGGATGGTTTTGATCACCTGTGTTTTAAAGACAAGAGAGACGAATTAAAAGATGGCGGCAATGTTATCGAAAAAATAGCGAAATAAAGAACTAAAACAATATAAATATAAACAAATAACTAAAAACAAACAGGAATATCTTGTCTGAATCTAAGGCTGAAAAATAAAATAGAAATTATTAGAGTTTATCTCCAAACATCAGGCTTTTACGTGGTTCAAGAAAGAATAGGGCACTTTAACTTTAAGTAAAGTATTATTTATTATATATACTTACTAGCAGCATGGCCCGGCGTTGCCCGTGCTTGATTCAAAAATTGTACGACGATATTCAGTCACCCCCCCACGAGAGTGTCATGTGGCACAAGGCCTTTTTAACGTGGGCATTCCCGAGCCATTAAACTCGGCCAAAAAAATAGCCCATTTGAACCCGTATAAACGGGTTCAGGGCCGGTTTAACCTCCCCAAAGGAGACTCCACCCTTCGGCGTAGCCTCCTTCGGGTTCCTCCCGCCCGTACGACTCATACAGCAATCGCTATCACTTGACTTAAAATATTTTTGCCCTTCCTTGCCTTTAAAGGAGTGCCCTTTGCCGTGCTGACGTTGCTACATGCCTTACTTCTTGCCTATCTCACACTGCGAATTTTTTCTAAGCTCTATACTAAACATTAAATCTGTTATGAAAAAATAGAATCTTCCTGCCTATTTGTGGCAGCCAGCTATTGGCGTAAGGGATAATGGCTCGGAATTGCAAACCGGGGAGCCGAGTTCGAATTCCAGTCGGGTTGGTTATATTCACTTACGTGCAAATACCCTTGCGAAAGATATGAATTCACCTTTTATTCCCCAGCTATGGGTTAATTAGTAAGACTTGTATCACTGAATCATTACTATTTCCAAAACAAAACATAAAAATTCTTGCAATCTAAAATTATGTTTTGGCTTTAAATAATCTGCAAAAGGTTGATAAGCCGTAAAAAAAACGAATCGATCATTTAAAAACAAACACTTTTACTATAGAGAAAGGCGGAATATATATTTGAATTGCCTCAAAATCGATCAAAAACACGCCGTTCTAAAGAACGTCTGATCAAAAGGAGGTTTCTTCTACAAATGCGACGCAGGTTCTAACCCTGCCCGTGAGCACATTTTCTTTGTTAAGTTTTCTCCATTGCTCAGGTAGATAGACATAATACAGACAGTTTAAAATAAAAAAAATAGCAGTCTATATTTCTGAGATGAGGCATAATATACACTATTGACATTATTCGGACTATTGTACTCATCTTTGTCGCCATATTTATTACAACGTTTCAGCCGTTGTACGCTCCGGCCTTCTTCAGGCGGTTGGAATGTCGAACTGTACCCTTTATTTCGCTCACTGGAGTAGACTGTTCCTCAAGGACACATGGCATAGTGGATAAAGGGTTTAGTTAGATCCAGTGACAGGACCCAAAGAGTGTGAGTTCAATACCTGGTTAAGGCGGTGGAGAACTTGGAGAGGGGAATTAACAGGAGTTAACTGACAACTGACATCCATTAAACATGGCACGTGGAACTAGAACAGTCTATCCTAGTGTGCGAAATAAAGGGTTCAGTTGGATATTCCACCCACCTGAAGAAGGCCGGAGCGTACAACGGCCGAAACGTTGTAATAATTTTTTAAATTTTTTCCACTTGTGACGAATGCAGCTATCGATTTTTTCTGCATGCTAGCATGCTAATTAACATTCGTGTCAGTGAACTGTTGGCTCTAACGCTGGCCAATAGAATCTTCCTGCTTATTCGTGGCAGCCAGCTATAGGCTCTCACTCTGGCCAGTAGAAAATGGCCGCAAACTTCATGAAAACTGCAGTAGAAGCATGAAAAAAATCGATTATTTCCACTATCGATGGGAGTTGGGAAATGCAAAGTTGGTCTTGACCTTCCCGCTAACTTGGAGCATGTGCATGTAAATTTTGGTGCAAATTCGTCTAAAATTGCGGCCGTGCATTCGTCACACACACACACACACACACACATCCTGCCTTTTATAGATAGAGATAAACATACTGTCATTTCTTCATCAATGCATTTAATATTTGATATATTTTTGCATTTAATGTTGGTAAGTGCAGAAAATCTTAATTCACGTGGAAGATTGCAATAAAATATTCAACGCTTTACGAGCTCTTGAAGGCTGTTCCTTTTTTTTTTTTTTAATGGAAATCCAAAATTCATTAATGGACACCTCTTTATGCTTATGGAAACCATTTGCTTGGTGTCTGCAGTTTTCAAAAATAAAGATATTTTTAAATATCAAAATAATTCATAAATTACTTTTCTGTTAAATTGGGACGCACCTGGCTACCTTTCAGGGCGCATTAGTGCACCCAGGCGCACCAGCTGAGAAACGCTGCTCTAAATATACGTCACTGTAAATTTCAAGACATTTTATTTGGTGTTATGTTTATAAGGTTTGCAAATTACATTGGAGGTGCATTTAAAATGACATTCAAGGAAAAATCGTTGAAAATCATTTGTTAAAAGAAAATGAAGTTGATACACAAGCACACAGGCACGCACAAA